GTTTTTGCGCCCCTCCAGGTTCTAGTAGCCTAGCGGGTCTGGTGGTTTTCTCGGAGGACGTCCCGGCATTCTGACAGATACTCACCTACGTAGGGTCACCTTCGGGTGTACTTTTGTTGTATTGTTTCTTTTGGACTGCTGTAGGCCTTAGGCTCTGAATTCAGTGTCGTATTTGCGCTAGCACATATTCTATCACTCTATAATTGCTAGTTTTTAAATTATTCGCACTTTTATTTTACTGTTTTAGCTTCCGCACTGTGCACATGGCTACGTCACTTCCACGTGACGGCCAGCATGCCCTGATCTCGGTCGGGGTGTGTCACAGAAGGTATAACTTCACCAAATTTGTTCTTACGCACGATTTCAACAAAAAGGGAAGCCAATCTAGAAAGAAAATTTTTCTTTCCAGAAATCAGCGTAGCAATTTGGTCCAGTGAATACTTTAGATTCATCACAAGTTCTCTAGATCGGTCTTGTTAGAACTCAGTAGTTCCAACGGAATGGAGGGTAATAGTATTTATTAGAGTGTTAACATCATCTTCTTGGTATATTGGTTCACGATTACTGTCTCCTACTACACTTGTAGTTGCAAAGATTTGTTCTTTTGCTTGATCACTTATATGGAAATATCCACCATCCACGAGGTTCTAAGAAACAAACCTCTTTAGTGATATAAGTTTTGAAGGAATTTTCCCCAACACTTATACACTTTGCATATTTAGGAAACTTCCATTTGATAGCACACCACTCATACAAAGTAAAGAAACTTGCATTAAACTTCTTTTGCTTCATAAATTGAAAATGAGCTCTATGAAGGAATGCCTGTTTCTCAAAACTATAGGTTTTCTCAAACCATTTCCATTTTCGGGTATTTTCTTCACACTTCTAATCTAATTCATGACATTCTTATCAATTTCAAACTTAGATATAACACAGATGTTAGATTCAACATTTGACCATGATGGTTCTGTTGAGGAGGGTTTCTTAATGGAGTAGAAGTTTCTGAGGATTGTACTTCATATAACGGAATTTGAACTTGCTTACGACTTTGCCTAAGACATTCTAGAACAACTCGCTCATGATCTTGCTCATAAGAGTTTGACCTTGTTATTGACCTTATAAACGAATTTATTCGAAAAAAAGAGGTCTTTGCGCGTTTAAAGAGTCTATGCATAATCTATAACCAATGCTTAATCTAGCCATTCTATTAGTAGAAAATTGTATTCAACATCTCCATCTTTCAAATAGAGTAACTTCATTCTATCTTATCATTTTAGGTACCACTGTATGGGCCTTTTCTATACGGCTTGGAACAAAGTAGTTTATCCCTTACACCCATAACCTTAGCCTTAGGTACAATGGTATTTATTACCTTATAAGAAATCCTATAGATCAAATTTTGTGATTCTAGCTCCATATCATTACTTTGTGTCAACATTAGATTTCCCGATCGAATAACGCCACAAAAAAATTTGGAAAACAATTGAAATAAATTTGTCCTTCGCTATGAGAAGACTCCACTAGACCAAGCATAGAATTTACAACGTTTTTGTGTCTTCGTCTCTCAAATAGAATAGGATAGAAGTATCTAATCCTGTTCTTGCTAATGGGTTTCACCGCCACTTGAATCAGACCAATATGCAAATAATTGTGACCCTTCTACGTAGCCTGACTATTTGATGTGGAGAAAATAGCTGAAAATCTGCACTTGCATCAAGGGCAAAAACTGTTTTCTATATATCGGGTTAGGATCTAGGGATATACGTTTTTGACACACATTTTTGTGGGGCTCACTCCGTAATGTATTTTAATGATCCAGCTGTCTTATATTTTATATCTTACCTCAAATATCATGTCTCCCAAAAATTATCCAAATCCAAAAACATTTGATTGCTGGATTAAATTTAGTATTTCTTTGTAAAACTGTATTCATTCATTTTCTTCACTTCAAATGAATGTTTTAACGGTTTTGAATTTGTCCATTTTTTTTTTTTTTGTTGCAAATATGATCTATGAATGATGTACTAAAATATAAATGGTCTGATTCGTAGAATTACATTGTGAAGTGGGCCCTATAAACTAATTATTAAAAGTATGTGTTCTCGAATCCTAACCCATATATATAAATCTATTTGGCGTTTTTGTAGAGTACGATTTAGGTTTTTCTTCCTTTTCATTTCTAAATGAAGTATCCATTGCACCCTCATGCATATATACGTGGAGCATGTTGCGAACCTAGTTTTGGAGCGTGACACATTTACTTGACGAAGAACAAGAAGCGACTATTGACTGGGAATTTAAGAAAAGTCACTTTGTAACACATGGCTCCTAAGCCCTAAACCATATATATCTATATAGAGTTTTCGGGGACATACACTTTTGATCTACATTTTGACACCTACTTTTTAGGGCCCCACTTCGTAATGCGTTTTAACGATCTAAAACCACTATCACATTCAAAAACAAAACCATTAATACATTCATTTGTAGTGAAGAAAATAGACGATTGTAGTTCTACAAAGAAACACTAAATTTAATCCAATGGTCATATTGTTTTGGATTTAGACGATTTTTGATAGATATAATCTTTGAGGTAAGATATATAAGAGAGGTAAGATCTCAAAAATGATGAAATAGTTGGGGGCCTTTCACTTGTGCGCTGTTTTTTCCACAATACAAGGTTTTAAAAGATGCTAGGTATTAGTCGAGTAGCAGACTGTGATACATAATTGTATTAGGATACATAAATTGCAAAATAGAATGACATATAGATTATAAAGTATTGAAACATATCGTAAACATGAGAAACAAGCACATAATGAGTCTTTATCAAAGTATTTAACTAGTCTATTACAATTTATTGAAAAAATAAAATGTAAAATGAAAGGTATCAAGTTTTTATCTAAGTGAGAGTCGCGACCTAGGAGTCTAGGTGGGTTAGGTGCGCGCCTAGGTATGTCTAGGCGCTCTTTCTTAATTTTTAAACGTCTAGATATTAATCGGGACAGTGACCAACCACCTAGCACCTAGGTGGAGCTTAGGCAACGCTTGAAGGGAATTTGTAGAAAAGTGATTTTATATCATTGGCTGAATCTAAATTTAAAGGTCAGGTAATTAAATTGTTGAACCTTCAATTCCTACCATGTCAAATATTAGGATTTTGAAGTGTTTCTAAATACGTGGATGATTAGAAAACGAAAGATGGATTTTATCCATCTAATAGTAACATTGTTTGGGACTGTGCCTTTTGTGGAAACGAAATTGAAACTTCGGATCATCTTTTCGCTAATTCCACTTTTGTCGCATCTAATGGTACATAACATAAAGACATGTAGTTTTATTTTGAGAAAACTCTTAAATATATTTATTTCCTTAATCAACCATCAGTTCTTAAAAACGATTACAATTACGAACAGACATAAATATATATTGTACTATTATTGCAATTGGAAAGACCACTTGGACGGGAAAAAACCTGCAGAAGTCTGAAATGAGAAAGTCAGCATGGCCATTCGACCGGTGGTGCAAGGGACGCAGGCAGCCAGTAGGCCGATTGAGCTACATCACAAACTTCTGGGACTTAGTTGGAGCTTGAGTTTTCATATCTTCTGCCACCATTTCACTATTGAACATCTTTCTTTGTTTATGAGACTCAGTTGGGGTTTTCACATCTGTTGCCCATCCGATTGCTTTGAAAATTTTAATTACGTACCAAGTTAAGTCAATTTGCCACCATTCCAAACCTTGTCGAGCTGAGTAGTCAAATGCATGGTGATTGTTGTGCCACCCTTCTCCAAATGTAACCATTGCCAACCACCTAAAACAGTTAAAATTACATATAAACATGTAATAAATTACCATATTTATCAAAGACTACATATATAGAAGCAAGAGAAGGAAGTTAGGTAATATATACCAATTGTTCCTGGACAAATCACCGGTGTTGTATACTTGTTTCCCCCACATGTGGCCAGCCGAATTTACTAGCAAAGTTACGTGCAAAACAGTTACTATTCTTACTCCCTGCAATCACAAAAGGAGTTTAAGGTTCATAATACATTGATCTCGCCGTTTATCCTTGTTAGATATGGTTTTCAAACCACAGAAAATTAAGAAGCATATAATAAATACTTGGATATTACCCACAGTACTAGAGATCTTCGTGATTTGCAGGAAAAAAAAAAAAAAAAAAAAACACCAGCAAAGGTAACTTTATTATTCAAAAAAAATAATAGACAACTTTATTAACGTGGTCGATATTGCAGGGATGTCTCCAGGCTGGAAATTTTCAAGATCCGGTACTATTTTAGATCGATTTGGTTAAATTTGAAGAAAGTTGATATTCTATCATAAAATTAATTTACAATATGAAAAGTAGTTCAATTTTTCATAAGTGCACGCAAGGTCTATTATTTTCATGATGTGGGATTAATAAGCTCAACAAGCTTTTTTTCATGCGACGAAGTTTTAAGCCTAATATGTGAATAACACAAATGAATGATGACACATCAGGCAATTTACTCTTAAATCATAAAAAAAGTTAAGATTTCGTCATAAAATTAAATGACAATATGAGAAGTAGCTAATTACATATAAACACATGGAAATTCCTTATTTCTCCGATAGAAAATTAATACTCCCAACAAAACTTCATCCAAAAGTTGCAAGTGAGGCTTAGGTGAAATATGCCTATTAAATGAACTTTTCGACCAAGAACAAAATTTTTAAGAATGCATATCAACTAGATCTGACAGTTTACTATAAAGTACAATAGTCATGTGCATATTAAATATGTATTATTGTAATATTATACCATATATATATATATATATATATATAAGTTTAAAAAAATTAAGTTTTATTTATTTATTTTTATTATAAAAGTTTTACTAGGATAAATTTTACTTGACTTGTTGCCTAAAATTAAAATCAACTAGTATCATGCGGCACAACTAACAAATAAGGGGAATGAACATGGTTAAACTGGTCCCATCCAATTAGTCTAATCTTATACGGAATAGTTTCACACTAAAATCGCTCCTCCAAGTACTCTGTAGTACAAAATAGGTGGTGCAAAATAGATCATCTACTAGTACATCTCTTGTGGGTAGAGATTCCGAGTTTGAATCTCCATCCCTCGTTAGTCAAAGAAGAAGAAAAAAAAAAATAAGAAGTGAACTATATGTGGTAAAGCCTTGCGACAATAATGTAAAACCATTCTCTAATGAGAAAAAAAACAAGAAGTTAAACATGGGAAGAAGCAATTAATCTCACCAGTCCCCAAACCAAGAAGGGAAGGCCGCCAAAGGCATATAATAAACTTCCAGGTAGAACAACTGCATGTATAACATACGTATGATGAAGAAACCTATAGAAGGCCTGCTTTTTCAGATCTTGGACGTTCTTTAGTCCTCCATACTGCAAATTTTCCATTATTAATTTAAGAGTTCAACAACATTTATTTAGTCATAGGATGGTATTCGAATGTCTGTGTGTGGAAAGGAGAGAGGGGGAGCAGGAAGAGAGAGAGAGAGAGAGAGATCCAGTTACAGTTGTGTATGCTGTTACCTTTCCAAACCGAGAACTGCTATCGATGATCCACCCAATGTGACTATACCAAAAACCTTGAATGGGGCTATGAACATCTTTCTGAGTATCGGTATACTGGTGGTGGTAACGGTGTGAGCTCACCCATTCTATCGGACTACCCTGCATATATATGTGCAACACCCCAAACTCAAACATTGCTCACAAAACTACTACTTAAACACAGAACGATGCTAAAAAAGTAACAAAACCTTGCTCACAATGAGATTTTCACACACACATATATATGTACACTTATAATATACCTGAAGTGACAGAACTGCAATGTAGGCAAACAAGTACTCGAGCCATTTCGGAAGCCTGAAACTTTTGTGTGCAAGATTTCTATGGAAAGACAGAGTCACTCCTAAACCCGTTAACATATGGAGTCCAAAGGCCAACCAAAATGCACCCCAAGTGAAATAAAAGGGTGCAAATAAACAAAGAAAGTGCATAGATGAAAGGACAGTCGCTATGACTACGTCCTGTAAATTCCATTCTCTCCCCAAGAATTCTCCACAGGGCATCATCACAATCTTCACCCAACGCCCCATGATATATGGTAGCAGACTCTTACTTCTCGTACTCTATTTCTTTAACTGGTTTAGCAAGAAGCTGAGCTACTACTCGATCTAAAGAACGTTATATGAAAATGCTGATGAGTTTGGAAAATGTTGGTCGGGCAAACCATTAGATATATAGAGAAGCAATTTAATATCGCACTGCATTGTCGGGATTGGGTACCTAACTTCTGTACCAATTTAAAACTAAGGTTTTTTATTTTTTTGAACAAACGATATTTATCTACACTAGGGGTGGATTTAGCCTCACAATGAGTTAATAATAATGTGGTTTAAATTCATCTTTAACGAGAATCGAACCTAAGATCTCTCACTTACAAGTGAAGAGAAATATCATTAGACTGTAGTACTAAGTGACACAGTTTTTGCTTATTATAGATGTATTTTTTTTTTCTATTTTTTTTAAACAATTATAGATGTATCTTTGGCAGCTTGCAATGGTAGTACAAATGGATTTTTCAAGTCTCGGTTTTATCCCTTCTGATATTAAAGGAGTTGGCGTCCGGGTTTCATGGTGTATAATTTCAAATATCCTGCGTCCGGGTTTCATGGTGTATAATTTCAAATATCCCGCGAACTTGTAGTGGTGTGGCTCATCGTTTCACCTATTCTAGCTTATATAGTCGTGATCAGTAGTTCTGTTTGAAGAACTTCCGGATGCATTAGGGATATACTCAATCAAGATGTGTCGATGAGTTATTTGTCAATAAAGCTATTGTTTTCCCTTAAAGAAAAATGTAAAAGTCACTTAGTGCTACGATCTAGTGGTATTCCTCTTCATTTATAAGTGAGAAGTTTTTGGTTCGATTCTTGCCAAAGGAGAATTTGAATCACATTATTGCTAGCCCATTGTGAGGTTAGGCTTACCCCTTTCCCTTAGTGTAGATAATGTCCTTTGTTCAAAAAAATAAAATTAAAAAAAATAAAAAACAACTTTTATATTACTCCATTGTTGTCTTATTGTTGAAATAACATCACTCATTATGAGAGATATTAGACTCACCACATTGTCTTCTTTTTTCCACCCACATTATAATCCCACCCACCTTAAAATGTTAAAAGATTAAAATGCTATTTCCCCACCCACTATTATTCTCAAAAATAACCTTTGATATATACATACATGTGAAATTATAAAATTGTCTCTTGAAAAATATAAACAAATAATATGTAAATGAAAACCACTAAGGTCTGCAAATTCAAATGGAAACGACAGAGGTATCCAAATTCAAAAGAATTCGATAACGACAAATTCAAATGACCCACACACAAATTATTCTTCTACATCTTCCGTAGAAGCTTCATCTTCCACCTTTTCAATAACAAAGTCATATTCTAAGTCCATTTATATTTTTTTACTTTCTTTGAATGAAAGGAGATGAAAATATAAGTTAGGGTTTAAGGTAGACAAATATTCTTCCACGCCCAACCCTTTTTTTTTAAAAAAAAAAAATTAAGCAAAACAAGATAATTAATGTCCTTATCAGTCCTTTTGCAAATGGACAAATTTGTAGTTAAAAATTTTATTAAAAGGTGGGTAGAAAAATAAGACATTGGGGTGAGAATAACATCACTCATTATTAATTACTTTATCATGTTATTTTAATACCAATTTTACCCCTTAAGTAATTAGTAAAGTAACTAATATTATCTTTAATTTTAGCATTATCTTTCGTTAATGATAATATTCCTCTTCTTTTTCCTTAATTAAAGTTTGTTGCAAGCTTGCTATATTTTTGGTTTGCTACCTAACTTTTTTGGTTTTTTACCTCACTCATCATTTTTTTTGTTGTGTTTTCTTCAGTTGTTTCCTCAGGGATCATATACATGTGATGTACGTCATCTAATTTCTTTTTTCTTTTATGGAACGCTGCTCCAAATTAAGCATGTTATTTATCTACATATCACACATGATTTTTTTAATCAACCTCTACCATGTCTTTCAGCTTTGGTTGGGTTTCGTACCTCTTATCTACCTATATCACATTTTTTTAATCAACCCTCATTAATCAAAGTCCTTTGGCTTTGTCTAGAAATAAAACATGAGATATTATGGTATTTAAACCGTCACTTCTAATAAGCTATAATAAATATACATTAATTGGAAACAATATAAATTTAAATTTGAAGGCTTATGTGCCACATTGATCTTTTTGTAAACTTTATTCTCTACCTAATACGTCAAATTTAAGTTATTATTAATTACATTATTTCCTTTTTATAATTGTAATGAGTATTTTTAAAACAAAAGATAAACAAAAATGATTAATTTTAATTTACTAATCAGAAGTTTCTTGATTTTCAAAAAAAAAAAAAAAAAAAAAAAAACCCAAAAGGTTAAAGCCAAAGTTTTAGAATTTATAAGTCGGGAATTACCTGTTGTTGAGTAGGTAAGAGCTACAAATGCATTGTCATCGTGATGGAGAAGCATGGAATATTAAATAGATATCTACATTACCATGCCTTGTCAAGATGTGGTTGATGGTTATAGTAATATCTTTCCGTATGGGTGGGTGAGAGCGAGTCCGGATCCTCGTCGGATTCTTTTGCTGAGAATTCGAGAATTCACGAATCGTGTTCATTCATTGTGCGATTAAAATTAATTTTAAATATTTTTATTTAAAAATAAACATAAATAGTACTTAACAAAAACTGGCGATAGAGTGTACAATGAATGGATACGATTCACGAATCTCTAGAATCCATACCAAAAAGATCTGGAGAGGATCCTGTTGGGGTGAGAGCAACCTACTAATATTGCTTTTCTATGGCTTTGTTTCCACTTTCCGTTGATCCTTGTGTTGGGTGGACCCGGGGAGGGGAGCAAAAGGATGACGATTTGCAAAATATTTGAGTGGGTTAGAGCTATGTATTAATGTTGCATTATTTTTCCCACGTACATGAGAATTTTTAACTTTGACTCATATGGATAATGATGATGTATTATATTTGTATTGTGTTCAATACCTAGTAAGCGAACTCATTATGCTGTCTAACTCAATCCTTCCACCTTTTCGAGTACATTATCTTTCTTCCTTAAAACTAGAATAGCGTTGTAAAAGGGAAAAAAAATTAAAAACAGCTCTTTTTTTTATTTTTCAACAAAAACAGGCCTTTCCTCATTAAATCCTTTGTGAGTATATTTTCTCATTAATCCTCAGATAGGGTAGGCTGATATGAATGGATGCTATATTTCTGAAACGGAATAAAAAATACACACATTGCATGTAACCAATCAAGGGCCAGAGACATCAGAGTTTGTAATCTTGTTTAATTTTATAAATTTAAAGCAAATATATTATATATAAACATAACAAAATAATAAACATTAATTGAAATAAACATACATAAATTAAGGGATAATTTGCTAATCCCTGGTCATCCCCCAATGGTGGTTGAAGGTGCTCGCGAATGATATATTTGTGAAAACTAGTTCATTTGAGCAACATCTATGCATGCAATTAGCAATTAAAAGGCGGAATCATACTTGCATGCATTCAAAAACAAAACTTTACCCATGAAATTCAAGGCCTAGTAATTATGGTGAACCAAGGCTCAACTCAAGAACAAAGTGAGTTGAGAAATATTATACCTTTGTTGATTCCTCTTTGCATAAGCAACGGCTAATCACCCATGAGAGAGGGCCTTCATTCCTTATTTCTTAGCTCCATGGATTTCTTGGAGAAGGATGGATGAATGGATTCTCCAAGTTCCCAAAATAGGGAACCCCTAAGTCTCCACACCAAGAGAGAGTATTGAGGAAGAGATGAGTGACCTAGAGGAAGAAAGATTGCTAGTATTTTCTTCTAGGGTGGCTGGCCTCTTAGAGAGAAAAGGAGAGCTTGTGTTCTCTCTAATTTCCTCAAAGAAAACCCTCATGATGAAATGGCTATAAAGATGCATTTATACCACCTCACATTTGAGTGGCAAACTTGCAATTAAGCCAAGTTCACTACCCCTCACTCTTATGGCCGGCCTTGATGGGTTTATTGGGCTTTCAAGCCCTTTATGTTTTCAAGTTGTCATACAACTTGAGTTATTGAACTTGACATTCAAATCCTATTGGACCTTGAGGCCCAAAACTAACCCGAGGTCTAATACGAACTTTTTTGTTTGATTAATTAACATATTAATTAATCCTAGCCATAAATAATTAAACCATTTAATTATCCTTACTCATCTCCGTTGTTTCTTCAATATCTACCTTACACAGTGTAAGATCCATTAGGTTCCTTTTAGCGAGGTAGTGGGCAATTAGAACTCTTCAAATCGATTATGAATTGAAACATACTTTCAATTCTCCCTTTAGTGATTATACACCTTTAGGGCTTCTACAAACCATGAGTGACACCTAGCAGTATATCATAGTTACCCAAGCTAATCAGAAGAGGTGGAGAACCTATTCAATTTTGGATTACAATGCAATACGATCTTTCTCTAATACAATACTCTTGACCACATTGTTTGGTTTGATAGTTTATTCATGTCTACTATCCAATGTGATTTGTTTACTTATATGATTAACTTGAATGTGATTTGGAACGACTTCCTAAATCTCATTCATACTCTGGCCAGAGATTCTTAATCATATCATAAAGTATTATCCCTCAAACGATTTGAAGGTTAGAGATCCCTTGTTATGCATTCACTTGCCTCCATGGCTAAGTGACTTAACCCTAACTATGCCTTGGACACCTTTTGATGGAGTGACTTTGACATAGTCAAAGATTAAGGACCTAACCATAAGACAACTATAATGCCTCAGGTCAAATGACTACTTTTCATTATCCTAACCATGAGTTCTCATGTGACATGAGTATGAGTACTCCTTGTTGATCCCGTTCAGTGGACTCATTCTTTATTGAGCACTTACATGCTTGTCTTGGTGTCAGTCACACCAATGACTCGAGACCAGTCACTTTCCCTAAGAGAAGACATAACACGTACCGATCTTAACGGACTGTCAATGTCTAATTGGCAATCTTATGATCAGGAACGTTTAGTATATGTATACAAAAGAGAATGGTCTCATGAATCTAACTTCTTTAGATCACATTCTCCCAATTACATATTCCTTGGACTTATCGTTTAAGCATATAGCA